GGCCAGGCTACAACAGAGCGGCCGCTAGTCTGAAGTTGTAAGTGGAATATTCTGGCCACAGGGGGCGATAGAGGCTGGGTGACATTTCATTAACCATGTAAAAGGACATTTTAGCACACACTGGCTAAAGAAAATTATTGACAAAGTTGAAAAGTCTGGATTTAAATCACGTATGAGAACAAATCTACATGGTCACAACAAATTGTTTCAAATTGCAGTTTAAGCCTCAACCAATGCTTGAGCATCTACCCTTTTTGCAAACAGTAACTTGTGTGGTTATTTGTCTCTCTTTTCTCTTTGCTGCAGGTATTAGGTGATTGATAAAACCCCTAACACATGTTCATCTCCTGAGAGATTCACTCGCATCTAATGTCGATGCTCAAATGACAAACCTCATCAGATTTTCACATTTACAGATATGCAAAATATTAAGCTAGCAATCACAACACACACATATGACTAATGCATACGACTTTGGCAACATGACACTTCTGTTGCAGCTTTTTTTGTATGAACATTAATTTCAAATGTGTCAATTTGTCAAAGCAAATGTATATTCGGGCCACCAAACATGCACGAAATTCTTCATTCATGCCTTTGTAAGCGAGCCACTGTTAGTCTGACAATATTCAACACCCTTTATATAATATAAGCTTGTATAAAGGGTGCCATGCCATATCAGTACAAATATGCATATTACTATTCCAGACATGCAGTGGCTATCTTAAACAGCCATGGTAAATAAAAGCAAATGCTAAAGTCAGTTTGTGTTATCCAAACAAAAACTTAATTACACCTAAGTAATACTGTAAGTACTTAGCCAACAGCAGGTGATAGTGTAATTTTTAATACCTCAGAAGATATTTTTCCTGCATTCACAGTAGCAACAAATAACTAAAACTCCAGGACCTTATGTGGTTAAAGTTATACAAACTTGTATTGCCAGTGCCACAAAAATGTATTTTAAGCACAAAAAAGCTGCAATGCATTAAATAAATTAATGTCAGACATTGCACTTTAAAGTTTGTTCCTTATCTTTTAGCCCAGCCAATTTTGTAGGTAAAACCATAACAACAAAATCTCTCAAATTCAACTGATTAGTCTAATCACAAGCTATTCACACACCCTGACCATGAATGTTCTTAAATTTAACTACAGCCTTTAGACATGCGCTGTGTTAAAGTGACACATTACTGCCGTCAGATGATTAGCAAGTAGCGAATGACAAACAGTTTAAGAGAGACTATGTGCTTTGCTATGGTCATTTTCTAAACATGTAATGTTAGGATCATCAACAAAATGCATACACAGTCCCAGATTTTCTCTAAAAGAAAGTCACCTGCAGCTAATTCCTGCACCAATCGACAGAAAAACCTTATATATAAATAAAAAAATCCAATGGCATTCAGTAAAATTAGAGATAACTTTGAGTTATAGTCAGTAGAAGCACCTGCTTCTAATGAGTATTGTCAGTAGAAGCAGGTGCATTCACACAGGGCATGGCAGTATAAGTATTCCAAAATAAGTATTCTTGCCCACCCCAAAAAGAAACCTAGATTATCTTGAGAATTATTTGAAAAAACAATAATTATGCAGCGAGAGAAGCTTTCTGATCAGCACCCAAGCTTATGTCAGAGCAAAGAATATTTGGGTCTTTACAGTGATCATTAAGTAGATGTAATTAGGCCCGAGCAGCGAAAGCGCTGCGAAGGCCTCTTGTTTTTGCTCTGTTTATTATTATTATTTAATATTTTTTATTATTCTTAGCCCGCTTTGAACGGCTTTTTGGGGACCTTAACATACCCCAAAACTCACAATATTTTGCACACTTGCCAGGCCTGGTGAAAAATTTGATATTTTAAAGGTCCCAAAAAAATCGCAAAGAAAATGGCTGAACAGCGCCCCCTACAAAATGAAAAAAAAAAAACCCTCTCCATAAAGCTTAGTTTATCGTACAGTTTTGAAATTTGGTACACTTATAGTACTCAACAGTCCGCACAGAAAAGTCTCTTGCAAGCATGGTCAATATCAAACAGGAAGTCGGCCATTTTGGGTTGAAATGGCGATTTTTTGCCGTTTTGGCCGTTTTGAGGGTCCGTTTCTGATTGGATTGCTCGATCATTTTTTGCACGATCGTCTCAAAAATTGTGTAAAATTACTCAGAAGAGATGGGCGAACAAAATGAGACAATAAAATTGACTTTTCGTAAATACTGAAGGGGCGGAGCCAGGCCTCGAAGTTTGAATGCTCGCCAAAAAAATTTAAATTGCTATAACTTCATAAATGAATGGAATAGAGTTACCAAACTTTCTGTGGTCATTCGTCATCCACCAACAAAGTAAAATGAATGGCCGGATGATGACGTCACACAAGCCCCGCCCCCTCAGGACCAAAAAGGTCAAGATTTACTGTGAAAGGTCCCAAATTGCCCCATTTCACTTAATCACCAAAAATTTGTAGCTGGTAACTCAAGACAAGTGGGGGTTGCTTGGAGTCACTTTATGGGAGTTTTCGGCAGAGGGCGGGGCTGTGGCGGCGCGGCGAAGTCAGAAGTACCGCCGTGGCCTTACATTTGCCTCCCATTTCGTCATTTCTAAAGATATTGTCACGAAACTTCTTGTGGGTGATCCTAGTCTGGCCCCTCAAAAAATCTGATGTCAACATCCGGTGGGCGTGGCCTATTTTCTGAAATAGCGCCCCCTAGGACCATTAAAACTGTCAGCCCCAAGCCATGCTTTGACTGAGGATTACGAAATTTGGTACACTAATGTGGTGTCTCAGGACCTACAAAAAAGTCTCTTGGAGCCAAGTGCAAAGTCGCACAGGAAGTCAGCCATTTTGGTCCAAGTGCGCAATTTAGTGGTTTTCGCACACGTTGTTTGGAGAGTGATGCTCCGTCGCCCTTTTCACCAATCGCCTTCAAACTTCTGCTATATACTCTTAAGACATAGAGGAAAAAATTCAACCGTCGGATTTTAAATAAGTATAAAGGTGTGGGCGTGGCTAAGCCTCAAACTTTGACCTTTCACCAGGCCACTCTTTTTTTCACAGCTCCCTATTGGACTCCTTTTACCCAATCACCAGGAATCTCTGGTAAATAGCAGCAGACAAGTTGAGGTCACTTGGTCTCCAGTACTGGAAGGTTTTGAAAAAAGGCGGCGCTTTGGGAGCATGGCGAAATTCGCCATCACGCCATGGAAATACGTTTGCCTCTTATTTCTTCATTTATCGTGATATCACCTCGAAATTTGTTGTGAGTGATCCTGGTCTGACCCCCAATAGAAATGGTCAGTTTAGGTTTGTGGGCGTGGCCTATTTTCTGAATTAGCGCCCCCTAGGACCATTAAAACTGTCAGCCCCAAGCCATGCTTTGACTGAGGATTACGAAATTTGGTACAGCAATGTGGTGTCTCAGGACCTACAAAAAAGTCTCTTGGAGCCAAGTGCAAAGTCGCACAGGAAGTCGGCCATTTTGGTCCAAGTACTCGATTTAGTGGTTTTCGCACACGTTGTTTGGAGAGTGATGCTCCGTCGCCCTTTTCACCAATCGCCTTGTAACTTCTGCTAGATATTCTTAAGATATAGTGGGAAAAATTCAACCGTCGGATTTTAAATAAGTATAAAGGTGTGGGCGTGGCTAAGCCTCAAACTTTGACCTTTCGCCATTACATTACTTGACTTAATAACTCCCATGTGCATGATCAGATCTATATCAAACTTTGTCTGTGTGATCACTGACCACATCTCAAGGCAACGTCATTGTGGACAGCTGGCATCACCTAAGCCCCGCCCCCTGACAACAGGAAGTCTATTGTTTTATGGTGAAATGCCCATATTTCTCCCCTCTAATTTAGTCAACATGACACTAAGGTCATGCACTGTCTTCATGATGTTGTAATGACCATTCAGATCTGATAGCTTTCCAGATAGGGAGGGGCTTTGATGCCATGGCGAATTCCAGCATGACGCCGTGACCTTACAATTCAATTTAATGGTGAGCTCAGAGGGGATGCTGAGTCAGGGTGAGGTGCGGACGAGGTGACCGTTAGCGGTTTCTGGTGTCGGGGTGGGCGACGTTTCTGTTCCACGGACGTGCCCTGGTGCCCTGGGCTGCCGGCCAGGCCAGAGCGGCGCGGAGCTGCGAGGGCCGAACGACGCTGCTTGCAGCTTTAATTTATTATTTGTTTTCCAAAAGTTATTCCCATGCTAATTTCTGAAAGATGCTGTTCAGCTCAGACAGTTCTGTATAACAAACCATCTGCCACATCAGGTTGCAGCAATTTAGAAATTGCTTTAATCTTTGTAAAGTTTGAGGCAGGTCCGTACTTTAACAATAGCTAACAACTAAAGAATGTGGATATATCAGGAATAATAAATGAAAACAAACATTTCTAACGTCTTGCACAAAAGAACTGAATGGTGTTCAAAACTAGTACTTAAAGCTTAATTCCAGCAGATGGTAAATCAAGTCTATTAAATTGAATATTTAGTGTTTAATAGTTCAAAAATATCCATTTATCTCAAATCAATTCACCTCAGAAGAGCACATGGTGTGGTGTAGCTCATGTTTTCACAAGGGTCCTCAACGTTACACTTCATATGCTGACAGATTCGAATACATGCTTTTTATGATTATATCATTGTTTCATTTAACAAAACGTAGCAAAACACTCTCCTTTATGTTTGTTTCAAAGATGCAACGCGTATAGTTTTGTTTTTAGCCGTTAGGTTAGCATCATACGTAACAGACGCTAACTTACAGTAGATAACAGTTCTCTCGTTCACTTCCCAGTAAAGAAAAACTGCAAAAAAAGTCCAAATTCGTAAGCATGACCCGAGTTTATGCTTAACTAATGACTGAAATGTCCGTTTCGTATGGCAGCTAACGCTAACAACTAGCTAGTCAGACAGCTACCGGTGACTAAAAACTAACTAGAGCTAGATGAACAGACCTGGGATTAGAAGACGGCTTCATTGGTAATTAAATTATGTTTACTCACATTAATGACGAATAAAACACCAGTCAGTCCCAAAAGGATGAGGTTTTCGGCGCAGCTGAATACGTTTACACCCCCGTCTCTCTACGGAGATGCAGCAGTAACTAGCGTTCCGTGTTCAGCAGCACTAAAGCCCGCCCCCGAAATTAGCCACGCCCACTCGAGCACAGTTTTTCTCCCACTGGTGCTTTGGAAATTATTGCTCAGGAGCAAAATAAAAAACTGTTATTCCGATTTATGTAATTAATAGCAACATGTTTTTTAATTAATAAGAGTTGATTTTAACATGTGCACTGAATACTGATTTAAATCAGATTATTATAGTGATTACTGTAGTGGTTTACATGCAAGATAATTTGCATCTCCAGCAACAAATAAATGTAATTAACTTTTATGAATGTATCTAGACTATAGGTTTTGCAGTAAATAAAAATCAGGAGCTCTATTTTTGTTGACAACATTGAACCAAAGGATCTGTATTCCTTGCTGTCAGTCATGCAAGCCTTTTGAATGGCAGTGCTGGTAAATGTGACAGGTCTGAATGACTATTCTCTTCACAGCAATACCAATACAAACTAAATGCTGTCGTGAATACGTATCTGATGGAGTGAATGCAAAATATGAGAAGAATAGCTGGGTAGCTGCCTGGGGGATGTCTCATAGATGACCGTAGATCACAGTCAATAAAACTGACAGCGCAGAGCAAAAATATGTTTCATGGGACTCCACATCAGCTATAAAGTGATGAATAACATGTAGATAGTACACAAAGCTGCACAATGGAGTCCAAACATACACCGAATCTAAAAGAAAAAAACTAAGATTGTCACAATAGTCATTCTTTACCCTTCTATATCTAAAATATCACAAGTATAAAATAAAACCAACAGTCAGACAATATAGATGCATAATTTTTCTCAGGGAATTTTAAACTATTCTTCTGTGCACTTTTGTTTGGCTTGCAGGCTAAAACAATGGATTCTGTTTAATGCTACTTTGGTGAAATACAAATGCAAGAATCCCACTTTTATTTTATCGTACCAGAACATCACATTCTCACGGCACTTTGAGAGGTGTAGTACACACTGCAGGGAAGTTTAATAGCTTTGTATTGATTAATAAGCTATAACTTAGTGAAAACCATGATTACCATTGACAGTTTGTGATAAATAAAGACAATGTAATTAAATTCCTTTCTAAATGAAACATTAGTCTCATAAGTGGGACCAAAACCTGAGCTTCAGTACTTTATTGATACTACTGTTACAACAACTAATGGATTTTTGGTCAGAAACGCCAGGGGCGTTTGCACTCTGACTGATTTCTGTTACCTTATTGGATTGCCTCCTTAATTAATGTGTTATAGTAACCATCTATTGTAAATTTGAGTAAATAACTTTAATAAAACAGCATAATATCAGCTACACAGTATAATTTTGCTGCTTGTAACCTTCATCACAAATCTTTATCTGCATTAGGCTAGGTATTTTGTGCCATTGTTCCTCTTTTCTTTGCCCCACAGCTTTTAATAAAACAGGCTGTTTTACTCTGCCTGCAGCTCTACAATGCAGGATTCATTAACACAAGCAATTTGTCACACAAACACCACAATATGAAATTGTCAGCTGTTAAAAGTCATTATTCAGTGCAAAGAACTTCACAACCGAATAACCTCGGTTTGACCCATAAGCACAATGGTTGTGAATTTTTCATTAATTTTGACTCATTTATCTTATTTACACACACCAAGTCAGTTTTTTTAATTAAAGTCATAAACATGGAAAACACAAAGTAAATCAGTTTCCACTATTCTGCAAAAAAAGGGTTTAGACGATTAGAGAAAGGATTTTTTGGTTCAATTCCTGCAAGACACAGCTCACAATTAGAAGGATTCAGATAAAGAGTAATGCAAAACTGCTGGTTATTTTTAGGTGCTTGGTCCCATAAAAGATCAAATAGAACACTTGCATCTTCTTCCTCCAAGAGTGTCTGTGTTGTTCCAATGTAAGGTACAATCATTAAAATAATTTTCTTTTCTTAAGGTTAATATTTGGGTGAGGCTATAATTTTTCAGCCACGGTGATGCAACGTCATAGAAATCTGCCTGACAATAGTACACATTGGTTAGCTATTCTGCTAGTGTTGTAGTGCAAAGGTAACAGGAGATAAGATTAACCTGCAAAGGCCTCAACGGTTTTATCTCAAAACATGGGCTAGTGTGCGTTTTGCATTTTCTCTTTTGTTGTTATTAATAAGTCAGAAATGGATGTCATGGATGGATGGATGGTGTCATTAATACATTGTCATGTGTCTATGCCTATGTATGTATGTCTGATTTCAGAATTGTGTGCACTGAAACTCTAATTTCCCTCTGGGATTAATACTTTATCTTTAAATTGAATTGAATTGAATCTTCATCCATCCATCCATTACCGCCCACTTATCCGGAGTCGGGTCGCAGGGAGGTTCAGACTTCCCTCTCCCCGGCCACTTGGGCCAGCTCCTCCAGGAAAATCTTAAAGCATTTCCTGGCCAGCCAAGAAACACAGTCCCTCCAGCGTGTCCTGGGACTTCCGTTAGGTCTCCTCCCAGTTGGATGTGTCCAGAAAACCTCACCAGGGAGGCATCCAGGAGACATCCTAACCAGATGCCTGAGCCACCTCAACTGGCTCCTCTCGATGTGGAGGAGCAGCGGGCCTACTCCGAGCCCCTCCTGGATGACCGAGCTTCTCACCCTATCTCGAAGGGACAGCCCAGCCACCAAACCCAAACCCAAACTCATTTTGGCCACTTATATCCACAATCTCGTTTTTTTGGTCACTACCCAAAGCTTGTGACCATCAACCGGTAAATCAAGAGCTTTGCCTTCCGGCTCAGCTCTCTCTTCACCACAACAGACCGGTACAACACCCGCAGTACTCTGGACTGTACTGTAATACATCTCTCAGCAAGTAATCACTAGAAGTACATCTACCTGGTAAACTTCAGAAATCAGTCCATTTCAAGAGGGCTGCAAACCCAAGAATGGCTCTAACTCAGTCAACTTCACCAATATTAAGCTAAAATTGCACGAGGTGGATTCTGAGCATCCTCCCCAGCACATATGTAGTATACCTTGAGCAAAATCTTAGCCTAAATCTTTGGTGATAACTGAAGGACTGGTCTTTTAGCTAAATGTCTCATGCACCACTTTGGATGGAAATTCCAGAAATAAACGAATGAGTTCTTATTTTGGGAGTCGACTCCTCTTAGCAAAACTGCCACAGCTAATCAATCTCAACAAACATAAGATGGTTATAGTTGTAATGATAATTGAGGGTAAATTGCTTAAGTAACTTGCTTGAAAAGCTATTTATATTATTACCACTACTTGTGACCAATCGCTGTGATACTCTATATAAATAGAATATCCCCTGCTTGGTCTTAGGATGATTAATTAGAAGATCCTACGATTCTTTTAATTATTAAGGGATCGTACACACTTCGCTTTGATTCAAGAAACAGTCAGGTTTATAAACAAAGTAAGAATTTATTTTACAAACACTTAAGACTTGACAAATGGTTTAAACTATTATTTACTGTGAGTGGATGCAAACTAAGATGGTGTCTGGAACCTATGTGTGAATATTGTATTCAGAATCTCCGTTCTCAGAGCTGAGTTCTGGATGGAAAGAATTTGGTTTGCAAATAAACTATAAAGATGTTATTATCAGAACCACATTCAGACGCTATCTCGCTGTGTCTACCTCACCCCTTCTGGAAGACTCCCGTTGGATTCGAGATGTCCCGGGGCCGACGACGACCCCACTACACCTGGCTCGTAGAAAAACCTCGATGCGCCCAAATCAGTCCTGGGATGTCTCTCGGGTCACAATGATAGATGAAACCAAGCGTCTTAAAAATAACTCTGAAGGAGTTTGGAGTCAGCTTTGTTCTGCAGGAAACTATCTTGTTGTTTCAGCTTCGCAGGTGCAAAAAAGGTTTAAGGTTTTGACAACGTGTCAAAATCCTTCTGGTTAAAGAGGTGCTAAAGATGGCCGGTCTGAAGCTCGCTCTAGAACTGACAAATTACTCAAAGCCATCTAGTTTTAAAGAATTGATATTATGGTTTGGCCAGCCAATCAGGGGCTGACAAGTTTGAGAGATGTTACCAAGAATCTCAGAACACACCCTCTGCAATCTGGACACTCTGAATCTAGGCAAAAGGTTAACTTATGTGTCATGCGTTTTTAACTTTACTTTACTTGTGAGTGCAAATGTTATGACCTCATCAAGTAAACATACTAAAGCAATCATTGAGCACAGATTAATGAAACATTTCATTATTTATAATTATAAATGGCAATATTTAATGATTATCTTTTATTATAAAATCTTCTTCTTTCTTCTTCTTCTTCTTGGAATAACTGAGTTTATTTAAGAGTTTCTCTGTGATGGACCTTGGAGGAGAAAATGTTTATTGTTTATCATTTATTATCTCTGCAGTCCAGCTGGTGTGAGGAAGTAGGCTCTGATTAAAGAGATTACGTTTAGACTTCGAGTCTCCTGTGAGGGCAAACGATTGTAGGATGTGTCACAGCCAGGGTAAGTTGACCTGGCTGTGCATTTGACCGGTGGGATCTCAAAATCAGGCCATTTCATCATGTTACATAGTAAAATTTACAGATAGTCAACATTACATGTGGTAGTTGCTGAAGAGTCATTCACAACACATACTCCAAGTGCTAATAAATCATGCAAGATCTCACAGTGTTGTAGGAGGTAGTCCACGTTTTCTCCAGGAATTGACCAAAAAAATAAATAATTCCTTAACAGATGATTTTATTTTAGAACTCTGGCAAAAAAATATCCAGTATGCATCTCCTTAAGAGATTCAAGGCCTTAAATAAACAGCTGCTCTTCTCATTTTTTAATACTGACTCTGTTGCTATCTTTGTGATTTGTGTTTGCTGTGCCTGTCTCACTAGAGTAACTTTAGGAACACACTTTGCTGGCTCATTTCAGCACTCTGCTGTTTGTGCACCCATGCACATGTTGGTCATATTTGGAGGAGGAGGAAAACCACAGTGAAACTTGATCCACAGATTCCTCCTTTGTGCGCTGGTGAAAGATCCCAGAGGCGTAGACCTGCAGTCAAAAGCTAGCTCTCACACTTCTGTTTGAGGTCCGTAAGTCCTCGTGTGTGCATGGGAAAGGCAACAGACCAGGCTGTATGAGGACTGTGTTCAACTAACTAATGGGTGTACTATGATGAAATCAGAATTCCCCACCCATAAAGATTACCTATTTTGTTAAAGTACAGGTGTGGCATTTCATTGTTTTTATTGTTGCTAGGGGACTTTTCAGTCATGCACAGACATGTACACACGTTCAAAGGCATCCACGCATACCTTACACACCTCGGTTTGTACTTGCTGCAGTTAATCTGTTTTTTTTTCATAACTTTGTGTTTTCATTGCAGAGTGTTGGAAAATGTTCCTATTAAGAGCTTTTTTAATCCAAAATGAGAGAAAAAAAAGCTACGAATGAAAAAGGAATTGCATAAAGCAAGAGTTAAATTGCATATAATCTGCAACTTTGCAGCAATGCTTTGACATCTACATTGTTGTGGCAACATTTGGAATTTGGAACATTCATGTTATACAATACGATTGGAAATGTTTGCTATGGGAATTGGCATTGCTCTCTTACTACAATTCAGAGAGTACTCCAAACCAGGCGTGGTACTCCACAAAGACACAGCAAAACTCTACCTCTAGCAGTTTTCCCTTTTCCATTTGTTAGTATGCACCAGCGCTGACACATCTTAGCAGATGTGTTGTATTTGGAAACCCCACAAAGATTCTCCCTATGAATCAATGCAACTTTTACACCTTGAACATGGTCCATGGCTGAAAATTTGCATTTAAATAGCATTGCTGACAGTCTGATGCACTGCACCTGAAAAAAGCAAAGAGGGAAAACCTCAAGAGAAATTAAATAATACTGTAGTATTTCACAAACAAGGGGGATGCATGATCAAGGTAAAAATAATCAGCAGTCTGTTAGATTTTAATCTTCTTCCTCATGACTTCATGCCAACATGAATTACTTTACTGAGAGTTACAATACCAGTTCAGCAGTAACTGGTATCAGGTTTGTCCCCTTGACTTTCACACAAGTGACAGATATATGGCTTGGTCAAAGATCAAGGAGAACCTGTCCACCCAATGGGACTGTCCTTGACAATCATTGGCCAAGCAAACCTGTTACTGCTGTCATTATCTACATTTGCGGAGGTTGAGCGACTGGAAAGACAACAAGGCACCTAATCTTTAATTGTTCATTGTATTGTACAAAGTCAGACCAAGCCCAGAAATGCAGTGAATTCTCATGTCCTTTTTGTTCTCTTTTGGGACATGCAGCAGTCACAAAGCATGACTGAAGGACAAAGTATTTTTACTCAGATAAATAGTTGCCGTGGGTAGTGACAGCAACACATTCATACTGGTTACACTGGATCTGTCTCATTCAAGGCAAACGTTTTAAAGTGAACAGCTCGACAAATAGGAACAGTTCAGATTTTATTCATTTATTTTGTTTGAAGAGTTCAACAAAAAGTTTACAGATTATATTCCTTAGCTGTTGCAGAAAGTTATTCAAGGAACTCCCTGTGTCACACAGACGAGTTAATAGCTTTTCACATTTGGCCAAGATGAAAATGGATTTCTGTTTAATGCTTTTGCAATAATCCTTGCTGTTAGTTTCACATTACATAATTATTTTTGCAGAAATATGGTGATAACCCATCCAGGAAGTGCTACAACTATCTGCTGCTGTAGCATTTTCTAATCTTTACATTTAAAATTAGAAGTCTATTTTCACAAAACTGATTGCCAGTGTTTATAAAATAACAGCGTGAGCTACAATGGAATTTGAGATGGGAGTTTTTTTTGACTGAAGAAAACAACTTTGTTTATACCAACTGTTAGCTTGTCAATACAGCAAAAACCAGTAATTCTTCAAAATGAAGTCATTTAAATAGCAGTAGGACATCTGAAAAGACCCGAGCCACGCAGTTTTATAAGTTAGTTTGGGTTCCAACATATTTGGGTGTTTCCTGTTTATTTTTGACCAAACTGGTTGTTTCTTTTAAATTAAAGAACTAATGACCCATTTGTTGTTTTTACTTTAAAAAAAGAGGAAAAAACTGGTTTAGATTTGAAATATTATTTATTATTTCAGAAGGTGTTTTTTCCCTGTACTTTGTGTACTTTTCTAATTAAATTAGTTACAAGCATAATTTCTGCATATTACATATTTGAGTCAAACTGAGAAAGATAGTCTCGTCGTTTCGCCAGAATTGTCAGAGATTTTTGTTTTTTTTGTTTTTTAATTTTTATGCTTATGGTGCGGTGCTAGGTCCAGCCCAGCTACCCGCCCACCACCCTCCCTTTCCCTCGGTGAGTCTGTCTCGGTCCGCCCGCCCGCAGCAGTCTCCTTCCCGGCGAGGTTTTTCACTCCAGAGATGGCTGCGAAAGTGTGCAGATCGGTGCTCCTGTTGTCCCGGAGCGGCGGAGCGGCGGCCGGCAGCCTTCCCGCACTTGTCGTGTCCTCACAGCGGCATCAGCAGCGCATCAGACCGGTAGGTCCCGGGACAGAGAGCCCAGCTCAGAGGAGGTGTAGGCTGGCGGTGAGGACCCGGGGAGGCAGGCGGGCGGGCTGGACCGGAGACGGTCGGCAGCGCTCTGGTGGCTGCCTCCGTCTCTGCTGGGCTTGCTAAGGAAGTAGAGCTAACTAGCCTCAATATTTTCCGATCCGGTTTTCAGTGAGAAGATTGCGCCTGGCGGAAAAGGTGAGGCTCAAGATGAGTCACGTATCCCGAACCGCTGCTGTCAGATTGTGTTAATCCTCGGCTGCGGGACGGGGGGCTTTTGACAGAGTCATTGCAGTTTTTTGAGCACTTGCTGAACCCCACCGGCGCTGCCCCGTCGTTTACTCACACCGGAGCCTCAGATCTGTGATCAAATCCGACTAATTCTTCAACTTTACATTTACCGGCTTGTGTTATCCTCATCCCGGTCAGGATTTGGGATTATTTCAGACTATCTGCAGTGCGTTCTGGGATAAGTGGGGACGGCCACGCATACCTATATAAATAAATATATCAATAAGGCTACCGCTGGAGTCCTGATTTATGCTGTCTTGCAGTGGAGGCTGCTTGGGTGTTAGGCAGCAGATGCTTGGCTGAGAAGATTCTCCCTCCATCTCTGCTTTTACACAAACTGCAGTGTGGTGCCGCAGAAAATCAGAATAATCAATGTCTGGAGAGGAAAACTGCACATCTGTGTGTGTGTTTGTGTGTGTGTGTGTGTGTGTGTGTGTGTGTGTGTGTGTGTGTGTGTGTGTGTGTGTGTGTGTGTGTGAGAGAAGGGTAGGGGGAGTGTGTGTGTGTGTGTTTGACTCACTGTGCTTGCACACATATGAGGCATTTCTTGAACACGGAAGCCCACATGCGGATGATGTCAGAATCTCTCAGCCAGCTTTTTTTCTCCTTCTCCACCCTGGGTAGGGTATTTCCCCATTCAGCGGGGAGATCCTGGGTTTTCCTGCAAGCTGATGCGGGTCTCGTTGCACGACCACTACAGAAAAAAACGAAGTGTCAAAAAATGCAATAAAAAGAAGGTAATCCCGTTTAGGAAGCTGTCACAACGGTGCAATAGCTGTTCCTCTCGGCGACTGAGGAAACAGTTGCATCTCTGGACTAATAGGTCCCTTTTTTCTCTCCACAGCTTTCAGCCTTGCATTATTTTTATAATTTCCTTTCTATTCAACTTTTTTTAGACAAATCAGGCCAGCCAGAGGAATAACAGCCACATTTGTTCCATTATCACCAAACCAGACCCTGATGCTGTTGAATCAGCCTTAACATTATGACTACAGCTTGGTAAAGTGAGTACGGGGTACATCTGATCATGACACTTAGCACCAATGACCGATGCCACCAATCATCAATCCTCACAACTCTTCCCAAAGTTGGCCCACTTTTCCTGCACCTTCTGACTCACAGGATCTAAATTGTGGGCAATCAGTGACACACATCCAAAACAAAAAGACAATTTTGAGAGTGCCATGTGTTTGTTCAGCAAAAAATGTCAAGCAACACTAAAGCTAAGTCCTACTGAAGCCAGGAAACTGGCAACCCAACAGAAACTTAGTGAGATGCTGACTTTGGCATGACGAATGTCGGCCAAGGGTACTCGACCTCTAAAACCACTTTTAGATACCAAGCCGATGGGATCTGAAGCAATCAAACCCAATGTGTTTGGATTGGAGACGCCAGCTTTCACTAGGATCTTTTGTTGACGTCCCAGACACTTCAGGACATCTTCGGATGACGTACTCTTGATCTTATTTGCTAAATCCGTGGCTCTAATGTGTCCTAAGTGACTCTTGTCTTTCCTCCAATAAGTGTTCCTACAGTGTAAATGGAACCACTCGTCTGTGTGCTGGCGGTGTTGTCCTTATAGAACTTTCCATTGTCCTGTCAGCCCCCTCAGCTTGCTGTTGTGTCTCGGTGTCGGGGTCTTTGTCAGCTGAAGCGTTCCTGTCACTGCTTCTAATGCATCCTTGTCTCTTGGTGACAGCCAGGTCTTTGTGTTTGTTTGGGAGCTCCTAACGGCGGTGTGGAATTTCTTTACCAGTGCTTTTGTTTGTAAAACCTGCAGTGGGAGATGCACACTTCCTGCAGCCGCTGTTAGCAGGAAGTGTTTCACCTAAAGACCCAAACGCGCGGTGTTGCACCAGTCTGAAAATTGCTGCTTCAGCCAGGATGGAGATGCCATCCCCAGGGATGGGAAGCAGACAGCGGGCTCCAGAGGGCCACATTTAACTTGCACTAGTTTTCCATTAAGTCAGCTGTCATATAAAATACTGCTTCCCTGACATGTGGCGGGTGACATCAGTCATGGAGTAAAATCGTTACTGTGGCTTTCTTGTTGTGTAAAATAATAAGACTGAGAGACAATTTAGGTTATTGCATTTAAAATCAGAGATTTAATATAAAAATGGAGTAAAACAGATCATATTATTAGGTTTCCCGTTAAGCCAAACCTGTTCATTAAACTCAAGCATCTTTTGGCTTCGGATGCTGGAGAGTCACAGGGTGCAGAGGCTCACTTTAATCCAATCAGTGTGGGAGTAAACTAATTTATTCCCGCTGCCTTCAGAGACTCTGTGCTGAAGTTATTCGGATTAGCCCAATAAGAGAGCGACTGTAAGCTTGTGGCTGCACTAAAGGTGATAAGATAGATGAGTGATTGATAAACCCGTCAACGTGTTCTCTAGTCTTTAAGGACAACATGGTTTGCGACTCCAGATTAAACCTAAAAGAGACGATAGATGATCGAATGTCACCTTGTGTCACTTTTCAAAGTGAGTCATTTCTTTAGTGGCGTCAGTCACATGGTTAGCCAGCATTTGTCTCAGTTTTGTTTTGCTAAACAGAATTTTCTCTATATTTTATTATATATTAATATCAATGTTGAATCGCTCTTTTCTCACTTTTTCTCATCTCATGGCTGCATTCCCAGCGACTTGGCCAGAGTGGAATCTTTATGATCTTTGGTCAGCTCGGCTATTATTTATTTATGCATGGAGAAAGTCTCACTGTACACCAAGTGAAAGAAAGAAAGATGAAGAAAGAGAGAGATGAGGGAGGGAGAGTTGTGTTGAGTGGATGAAAAAACCCGATCTGAGATTATTCGTAGGCAGAGTGATCAGGTAGAGTTTCAGCCAGAGGTTAGTAGTTACAAAGTGATTCATTAGCAGAATGGATCTCCTTTTTCAGTCCATAATCTGTGTCGTGTTCTTGCCAACGATCATTACATGCCAATGGTTGCTTCTTAAGGAGTTCTTGCTGACATGTGGATTGTTGATAAATGTGTCTAATTCCCTTTTTGATTTTATAAAGTGACTAACTGCTAACTGAGGAGTTCAGGCAACTAAAGACTTCCCACTCTTCTGTGTTTTGACTTTTTGGATTGCGAGCTGCAGATCAATGGACGGGAAATGGAAGACGAGGACAATCTTGTACTATCAGATGGGCGTGATAATTCACTCGTCTTCAGAGGCAACTTGTCTTGGTTTGAGCCGTTTCTGCGAACAGAAAGACCGCCTGTATAATCGGAACATCCCTACTAGTTAGCTGCTTGTGTTTGGTGCCGCTTTTGGGAAATCTATTGTTTTTGGCTCAGTTTTAAAGGTGCCCCAGAATAACATCTTTTAAATTGGAAACTGTTGCTTGAGGCTCTATAAAGCATATGAAACATTGTTGGGGCTCACAATGGCCCAGGAGGCCTGATGTGTGGCCAAACACAACCCCAGTAAATCCCTAAAAGAAAGCCTGGTTTGCCCCTCACCAGGACATGAATATTAAGTAAGCTGCATGTTGATTGGCCAGTTTATCTCAATGTTTTTTTTTAGCCATTTTCATAAGACCTACCATGCTGGCAAATCACCTTAATACTGCTGTCACGGTGTGGCGGTGCAAAGCCGGACCTGTGATTGAAGATGATGCTTTGGCGTAGGGCTGCTCAATTAATCGAATTTTAATCACGATTACGATCTGAGTTTTGAACGATTATAAAAAACAAAACAAGCCGATTATTTGCTCCTCCCGCTTGCGCTGCCCTGAGTTGCAAATGAAGCGCTCCTCCCACAGTGTTGCCAACTTAGTGACTTTGGCGCTATTTCTAGCAGCTTTTCAGACCCCCTTCTTGACTTTTTAACTTAAAAGTACCTAGCGAACACCTTCAGAAACATCTCTGGTAACCCTTAGCTACTTTCTGGATAACTGTCGTCGACATTTCCTGCAGGTTAGCTAAACACTCCGCCTGCACTCCGGACCGTTCTTCAGGACATTAGGAAAGGGAATGATGTAGTGATGTGTCAGTCGCTAAAGACAGCTCTCGGAGCTGGCTCCTTGTTGGATTAGCCAGAGTGAGTGACACACACATCGCACCTGCGGACTCCTGAGCCACTAAAAACGGCTAAATGTGCGTGTGCGGCGCGCTAAACACACATGCAGCTTGCCCCGATTGCTGTGAGACCGGGTTGGGGGGTGGGGGGTGCAGCTGTGGTTGGAACAATTATTACATTAACTGATGGACTTGTAAATAAATAGTTTATAAATAAGGTAGAAATAAGTTCCTCACGCTGATAAATAATAACTAATCTCTCTGAGGACCCGGTGCTAGTGCACTCTCCTACAGCACCTTGACACGACTAAATACGTATTATGCAATATTTTGTGAACATCAATTTATTTGCATTTATTTGTTATAAATGCCACTGTATAATTCTTGCTGTCAGTATTTGCAAGATATTGGTATTTGGGTCTGTACTGGTTAGACTTAAATGAGTTAAACCAAGGTCTATAGCCCTTGGGTCATAACTATGAGCTGTAAGTATATTAGTCTTTTTATACTGGGAATCGGGAGTTATTTTAGTGATCATCTTGTTTCTTATTTATTTTTGTCCTGATTGTGCCCTGAGCAGTTTTATGACTGAATAAAAACAAATGAAATCAACATAAATTGAAAAACCGTCCTAAATAATCGTGATCTCAATTTCAGTCACCATAAT